CCTTTGGAAGAGCAAACGACACTGGTTCGCCAACTCGGACTACCGGAGTCTCATCTTTCGGTACTGCTTTCGTTTCTGAGATTTCCACTGGTTTAATCTTTTCAGGAATAACAAATGATATCGGCTGACCAACTTCGCTAGTAGGTTCTTTTTTGTCTGGCTTTTCAATATCTACTTCGAAACTTCGCACTGACTTTCCAACTTCATTAACTGCGGTGCACTTGTAAGTCCCCTTGTCCTCGGGTGTTGGATGTTTAATCAACAGAGTTTGTGTGTCATCCTCTACAACGATCACAGTTCGATCATCTGGTTTGACTGGTTTATCGTCTTTAGTCCAAATCACCTCAGGAGTAGGTTTTCCTTTAACCACAGCATGCATTTGCACATCTCCTTCTTCTGTAACAATCAGTGGTTCCTTTTTGTCTTCGACAAATGTCGGGCGCTGTTGATCTTTCTGGTGCTTTGGTGTCATTTGAGTTGTTGGTTTGTTACCCTCTGGTATTCGTAGGGGTTCACCAACAATGGATGTAGGTGCTTGTTCGTCTTCTTTTTCAATATCAACTTCAAAGCTTCTGACAGATGTACCAGCGTCATTTATTGCAGTACACTTATACGTTCCCTTATCCTCTGGCGTTGGCTGTTTAATCAACAACGTTTGCATATCATCTTCTGCACTGATAACAATTCTATCATTAGCTTTCACTGGTTTATCGTCTTTTGTCCAAATAACCCGAGGTGCAGGCTTTCCTTTCACTTCAACATGCATCTGAATGTCACCATCATCAGTAACAATGAGTGGTTCTTCGGTATCTTCAACAAAGAAAGGACGCTGGCTGTCTTTTAAAGGAAGCGTGCTACTTTCTGTTTCGATTTGTACATCAAACGTTTTAGTGTTTGTACCCAGCTCATTATAAGCAATACATTTGTATGTTCCTTGGTCTTTGGGTTGTGGCGATGTTATATGTAAAGTGTAAATGTCGTCTTTTTCAGAAATAATAATCTCATCCTTAGGTTGTATTGGTTGATCGTCTTTAGTCCAGGTAATTTGTGGCTTCGGTTTGCCCTTTACCACAGTAGTAATTTCTAGATCTCCGGTGTCTGTCAGTACTTTACTGTCCTTAAATGATGGACGTTGCATATCTTGTAAAGGCTGCCTTGTAAAAGAGGGAGTCTTTTCTGAAGGTTCACTTTCGATTTCTACATTATAACTCCGAGAAGATATTCCAACATCATTGACTGCAGTGCATTTGTACGTTCCTTCGTCGTCAGGTGAGGGTGACTTAATAATAAGCATATGGGTGTCACCATCGACTTTCATCAGAATGCGGTTGTTTGGGGTAATTATATTTTCATCTTTCGTCCAAGTAACTTCTGGGGTTGGTTTTCCTTTAACAATTGCTGTCATCTGCACACACCCTTCATCAGTTATAATAAGTGGCTCATTCTCATCATCCATGAAAGTCGGTCGTCTATCTTCGCTATTATGTTTCTTCCTTACTGTCTCCTCTTCGTCACTTTCAATGTCCACTTCGAAAATTCTTACACTTGTCCCAAGAGCATTGGTGGCGGTGCATTTATAATTCCCCTTATCATCAGTTGTTGGTGAATTGATGAGCAATGTATAAGTGTCGTCTTCTATCGTAAAGATGATGTGATCATCTGGTTTAATAGGTTGATCATCTTTTGTCCAAGTTACTTCTGGTTGTGGCTTTCCCTTAACAAGGGCGGTGATTCGAATGCTTCCCTCATCAGTCACAACTAACGGTTCCACTTTCTCAATAAACGTCGGACGCTGGTTATCCTGTGATGGTTGAGGTAGCACCTCTTGAGATTCACTTTCTATTTCAACATCGAAACTTCTTACACTTTTTCCAATTTCGTTTATAGCAGTGCATTTGTAAGTACCTTTGTCATCTAGAATAGGGGATTTGATAGTTAATGTGAAAGTATCATCATTTTCTGTCACTATTACTCTTTCGCTTTCATTCAGAGTTTGATCATCCTTTTTCCACGAAACAGTGGGCCTTGGATTTCCTTCAACTTTTGTGGTCAGCACCAGATCACCTTCGTGGGTCACCTGAAGAGGGACAACGTTTTCATCGTCATCGAATCGTGGTGCAAACGTATCTACTATTTCAGTAGACGTTAATTTTGGGCCCGATTGCACTTCCTCCCCTTCAATGGCGACTTCAAAAGACCGAAACTCGGTTCCTGCCGGGGAATTGGCCGTGCACTTATACGTCCCTTTGTCGTCTCTAGTAGGCGAGACAATAGTAAGCGTAAAGGTATCTTCTTTTTCAGTAAACTTAAAATGATTGTCAGGTTCAATTGGAACGTCATTCTTTGACCACGTCAAATCTGTTTTAGAATGATCAGCAACGCGTACGGTTAAGCTTACATTTCCTTCATCTGTCATTTGAAAAGGAATCACATTTTTGTCAATAAATATTTTTTCACGGTCTTCATATTCAATATCAACGTCGAATGTTTTTGTATTGATTCCAACATCGTTGCTTATTGTGCACTTATAGATTCCTTCGTCGTCTTTTGAAGGTTTCTTTATAGTCAAAAAGTGCATGTCATCTTCGAAGGAAACAACAAAACGATCGCTAGGCGTAATTGTGTGTTCGTTTTTGCTCCATGAAACTATTGGGCGTGGTTTACCCTTTACTCTAACAGACAACTTGACGTCCCCGTCATCCAAAACTTGAAATGGTATTACTCCTTGTTCAACAAACACTGGCAAATTGACCTCAAGCGGTGTTTCTTTTGTTGGCTTGTCCCATTCTATATCCACATTGAATCTTTTCACACTCGAGCCACCTGGGTTTGATGCAGTGCATTTGTAAATGCCGGTATCCTTCTTTGTTGGACTCTTGATTTGTAATGTAGCAGTATCATTTTCACTGGTCAACGTGAATTTATCGCTTTCGGTTATTTTATTGTCATTTACTGACCATGTAACAGTTGGCGTTGGATGGCCTCCGACTTTGACAGTCAAAACAACATCTCCTTCATCAGTTGTTTTGAAAGCCACCACGTCTTTTTCGATAAAAAACGGAGCGATGTACTCTTTTGGACGTTTAACAGCACCAGTAGGTTTCAGGTTTTCAAGACTAACATCAAACGACTTTGAATTTACGCCTGCTTCATTTGTTACAATGCATTTATAAATTCCCTGGTCTTTTTCTGTAACATTCTTGATTGTAAGCATGTGCAGATCGTTTTCTTGATGCATGATGTACCGATGACTTTCCTTGATTGTTCTTCCATTTTTCTGCCATTCAACCTCTGCTGGACCAGAAAGCTTTACAGTCAATGTAAAATCACCATCATAATTCACTCTTAAAGGTTCTACTTCAGTGACATCAATAAAACGTGGTAAAATTAGCTGTTCGCTTAGAGCACCCTTAACTTGATGACTTGGCTTTACAGCTTCAATATCTACATCGAACGTTCTTGTCGCTTTGCCAGCAACATTTGAAATGACGCATTTATACATTCCAGTGTCATTGATAGTGGGTTCTTTAATGATGCAAGTGTGCAAATCGTCCTCAGTTATTATCACTATACGATCGTTTGGTTTAAGAGGGGTTCCGTCTTTAGACCACTCCAGTGAAGGTGTCGGAATTCCATATATTCTTACTTGAAGTTTTACATTTCCATCTTCTGTTATTTGAAAAGGAACCGGAGCTTTTGGTCCTTTTTCAATAAACTGTGCTCTCACATTACCGTCATCTTCTGGAATGACAATTTCTTGAAATGACGACCCAGTCTCAATGGTAACATCAAAAGTTCTTACATTTGATCCTCGTTTGTTAGTTGCGACACAGGTGTAGCTACCAGCATCCTTAGGAAGCGGAGATTTAATAATCAGTATGTGAGTATCACCTCGAATCTGAATTTCTGTACGTTCACTTCCTCTGACTGGTTGACCATCTTTCATCCACTCTACATCAGGTTCTGGATAGCCTGTCACTCTTGTCTGCAATTTGATGTCCCCATCGATTGTAACTTCATAGGGCGATATTCCCTCTCGGTCAGAAAACTGTGGGAAGTCTTGATCTTTGTGAACAAAAGCCTGTAACTTTGGTGTGAAGGATTCTACATCTATCGAGAACTTCCTAATTGCTTTTCCCGCGTCGTTCTTAGCTTCACACTTGTAAACTCCAGAATCCTCTGCGGTAGCATTTTTGATGACAACTCTATAAACGTTTCGATCACACTCTACCAGAATACGGTCATTTTCATCCAGTGGTACGTCATCCCTATACCACGTGACTTCTGGCATTGGCTCTCCTTTTACTTTAACCTCAAGTATAAGGTCACCATCGTCTGTCATGACCAACGGTGACTTTCCGTCTAAGTCATCGAAAGATGGCCTTTTGTTCTTATCTGATCCCTCAACGCCTATATCAAATGTTCTTGAAGCAGTCCCGCGTTTATTTGATGCAATGCATTTGTACATGCCTTTATCATCAGCAGTAGGATTTTTGATAATCAGAGTATGAACATCATCAACACTTTTTATATCGTAATGAGGGCTATTGATAATAGTTTCATCGTCCTTCATCCAAATGACATCCGGAATTGGATTTCCAGCTACCTTGACTTCTAACTTAACATCCCCATCTTTAGTAACTTCCGCTGCACTGACACCCTTTCCGGAATCAACAAAACGCGGCCGTTCATCATCGCTGCTCGTTGGTGAGTTTCCAAATGTAAATGTCCCAGAATCAATTATTTCAACACCAGCATTGTCTGTTCCAATATTTAAAGTAATGTCGTCACGGGGATTCATTTCAATAGTCTTACTGGATTGATAATCTGGATGAGGATTTGGACGTGGCTTTGGATTTCCTTTAGTTGAAGCAGTAGGATGTGGGTTGTGACGTGGATTATGCGGATTGCCTGGGTAACTTTCAATTGCGTCTGCTTGTGATGGTTGTATATGTTCTGATTCCGTCTTTGGATGGGGATTGCCAGATATGGGTTTTACATCAAGCTCAATCACTGGATTAGGTACACCACCTCCTAAATCAATCTTTATTTCAGTCCGTTCATCAGGCTTTGGGATTTCACTCAGCTTCAAGGTCAGTTCTTTATTGAGATCTATCATTTTTTCCGTTCGTACGGGAACAGGTTCCGGTTCCGGTTCTTCCTCAGTAACTTTGGCATCATCGATTACTTCATTCTGATCAGGTGGTGATTTATTAATTCCGAATTTTAAGGACATTTCTTTGTTTAATTCAATGACTTTCTCCATTTTTTCCTTCTGTATTTCTTTTTGCGTTTTGGGTTTGCTTTTCACTTGAAGGTGAGTTTCACAAGTCTGTTCCACAGTTCCACTTCGAACTACGCACAGCACCTTCCCACTGTCTTTTGGTGTTGCTTCATCTAAAATAAGCTGAAATCGTCCTTTATTTCTTTCTTCGAGCAGTCGTACCCTTCCATCTTCTTTAAGTAGTTTATCATTCAGGTACCAATCTACATTAGTTGAAGGTTCTCCAGAAACTTCTACTTYAAAGGTAGCTGTATTGCCCGAAAATTCGACCACAGGTTCTGGACGTTTTTCAATGACAAAAGGCGACTCTTCGACCAAGGCCTCAGTTGCACACGATGCAGTACCGAAATCATTGCTTGCAACGCATTTATAAACGGCTTCGTCGTCTAAGGTTGAATTCTGAATTGTCAAAGTACAAACTTTTCCATCAAAAGAACATTGAATGCGTTCACTGTCACTTAGAGGGAGACCGTCTTTAAACCATTCAATTTTAATCTCAGGGTCTCGGAATACAGTACAGATTAGTTTAATCATTTCACCCTCCGTCACCTCCACTGGTTGTACCAGATCTATGAACTGTGGCGGAAGTCCACTTTCGGCGGGATGTGCTACACGAAAAGGAACGATGTGTTGTGATCAAAATGTTTGAAGGGGTAAATAGCGAAATGATCTGTGTAAGCGTATGCTGTCGTCATTGGTCGTAGATGCACGAATGGACGTCATCAAAGTGTCATTGAATGAGAACGATGTGATCATTGCGAATGATATTAAGTGCGAACAGACTGTTAGTCTTGGAACTATTATGTCACACATCCAAAAGAAAATCTTCATGCGATTATGACACCTACAGCGTGTCATTTACCAACTGGATTACAGTGAGGTCATTAAAAGGCATGCAGACAAGTTGGAAGAGTTAATGACTCTCGAGCAACAATAAACACAACTCCAAGCTTTGAATAATATAAAACTTTGCACTGCTAGTCCCGCAATTACATCACAATTGAATAAATTCGAAGAGAGTCAAGTCTCAACTACATTTTATTACAATTATCATTACCAATATACAATATAGTGCTTTACCTCCAACATTACAAAATACATATTTATTAAACATGTACGTCATATTTAAAATTATTGTTCATCATTTAATCATCACACGCACTATCATTATCATCATGCAAAATGAATTATCGGGAAATATTTGTTCTTTTCAGCGATCTGGTGGCGGAGCTTATGTTAATCATACAGTTATGATGTAAAGACGAATTATCATAAACAACTCAACCAAGAAGCAGAAGTAAGAACTAACTTATCCCGATATCCATTTTATTTTAAAGAACGTTATTTCAATCGGTAACACGCGAAATGATAGCATGTTTTTTCGATTGTGAATAAACAAGACCTCGCGATCAATGGTCGTCTGAAATTAACAGTTGCTTAGCGTGCTCGCTTTCAAATGCAAGAGGTTGAGTCGCAGTCTGTTATTTCACGATCGAAGCAACATACCACCTTTTACATTTAAATTTAATTGGGTTAGAAAACAATTAGTCATGCAAGGTAATCAAAAGAACGAATATGCATAATCTAGACAAAAAGAATATGGTTTGCTTACCTTCGATATCAATGGTGTACGTCCTCTTCGCAATACCAGCATCGTTTTCAGCAATACACGTGTAGATCCCTGAATCTGCTGGATTTGCTCCTCTGATAGTCAAAGTGTACCTTTCACCTATACCAACTGGCTGGAAATGTTCGCTTTCTTTGATTGGGATATTATCTTTTTCCCAATGAACGTTAGGTGTTGGATGTCCAGCCACACGTGCCTCCAAGGTAATATCTCCGCCAATTTCGACCTCTGGTGGAACAAGTGGCCGTTCATCAACAAAGTAAGGCTGAACAAACGTTTGTGCGACAACAAGTTCTCCGAAGCAAGACGTTTGTCCTGCCTCGTTAACTGCAATGCAGCGGTAACGCCCAGCATCCACTGGGACGCAGTCTTTGATTACAAGAGATCGATGATCATCATCTGATCTAATCTCAGTTCTCTCGTTGTCGTGAATCGGCACATCGTCCTTGAACCACTGTACGTCCGGAACAGGTGTTCCAGAAACTCTTACATCAAACTGTGCAAGATCTCCTTCTGACAGTTCAATGGTACTCATCTTTCTTATGAATTCTGGAGGTATAACTGATTCCTCTACAAGCAGTTCCACCTGGCAAGAGTCTTTTCCAGCCTTATTTGACAACATGCAGGTATAATTACCTTCGTCAGTTAACTTCGCATCCATAATAGTCAACATCGACCGATTTTCTCCGAAATCTAACTTAGAGCGATGGCTTGGCTGAATTGTTTTTCCATCTTTCAACCATTCAATATCCGGCAAGGGCAAACCTGACACAACCGCTTCAAGCTGAGCAGTATCTCCTTCAGTAACCCGGATATTTCTTGGTCGAGTCACAAATGTTGGGGCTCTCATTTCTTCTTCCACCAAGACCTCCGAAGTGCAGGAAATTTCTCCTACGGAGTTTTTTGCGGTGCACGTATATTCGGCTTCATCGTCAGTGGTAGCTTTAACGATGGTTAGAGTGTGTATTTGGTTATTTGAGTCTATTCGTATATTGTTGTTTGACTTAATCGTTTCTCCATCTTTCAGCCAATTGACAGAAGGTTTTGGTTTACCCGTTACCTCAACCTCTAGATCAACACGCGTTCCCTCCATAACTTCCTTGTCTTCTAGCTTTTGGATAAACGTTGGAGATTTCTTTTCTTCGCTTGGTAGACTGAACGTCATTTCGACCGGTTGTTCATCCTTTGGCGCAACAGTAAACGTAACCTCCTCCGTAACAGGCTTTGGTTTGATATCAACAACCAAATTTGCAATTGACGATACTTCACCGGCAGGATTTCTAGCCGTGCATCTTACTTCGGAGGAGTCCCTTAGATTGCATTTATCAATTTTTAAGTAGAAGGAATCTTTTTCACGTCCGACTTCATGTTTAATGTCTGGTTCAATAAGAACATTATTCTTAAACCAAGAAATATCCGGTTCTGGAGATCCACCAACTTCCACGGTAAACCTGACGTCTTCTCCCTCAATTATTTTCACATCTTTTAGCTCCTTAACAAATTCAGGTTTGATTGGTTTTTCATCAACAAGAAGCTCACATATACATTCAGTCGTGCCGTGCTCATTAATAGCAACACACTTGTATTCTGCTTCGTCGCTGAGCTGAGCTTTCTCAATATTTAATATGTGCTTATCCCCTTGTAACACTTCATAGATCCGACTGCTCTCTTCTACAGGATGGTTGTCAAAAAGCCATTTGACATTAGGTTCTGGAGTGCCAGCAACGATAACTGTGAGCTGAACGGCATCGCCTTCGATCACTGTAATATTATCTAGACGTTTTACGAATTTGGGAGCCTCACCGGTAACTGCCTTGGGCGAAACACTCTTTTCAATTAGAGACAACTGTGCCGATGTGGTTGCCTGACCAAAGATGTTTGAAATTTCACATTTGTAACTACCACAGTCAGCCTTAGTGAAGCCATCAAGGAACAACATAGACTGGCCTGGTTTGGTTTCGATGGTTATTCCATCTTCCTCAGTTATTTTGTCATTGTCCACAAACCAACTGACGCTTGGTTCTGGTTTTCCTACATAACTGACAGCGAGAATGATATCGTCTCCCGACTTAACCTTCATATCATTAAGTTCATTTGTGAACTCAGGTGGTAATTCTTCCATTGTAATCTTGAATGATGCCGATGTAGAATCTTGACCGACTGCATTAGTTGCAGTACATCTGTACCTTCCTTCGTCTTCATAATCAACACCGCGTATAGTCAACACACACAGGTTGCCTGGACGAATTTCCATGTGATATTTTGCATCTTCAAATATTACTTTGCCATCTTTATACCATGTAACAACTGGTGTTGGCTTTCCGATAGTACGGCATTCCAGCATAACGGTATTCCCTTGAGAGATAACTACGTCAGATAATGGTTCGACGAACTTTGGTTCAGAGCGAACATCCTCTTGTTTAGGAATAGTAAGTTCAACAGGTTGAAAATCGAATGGTGTTTTACCATCAAGAGTCAAAGTGACAGGTTGCGATTCAGGTTTAACATACTTCTCAGTTTTTTTCAGCTTTTCTTCAGGTCGAGCTTTTGGTTTTGCAATCTCCAATTCAACTGGTTGGGCTGTCTGGCCATCAAGAGTTAGCATAATTGGCTCAAATTCACGCTGAACTTGTGTAGGTGTTATATCTTCTTCTCTTACATCGTCTGGCTTTTCAATTTTTAGTTCAACAGGTTGGAATTCTTGGGGTGTGCTCATGGTCATGGTTACTGGTTGAGGTTTGATCTCCTTTTCGGTTGAGGCAACATCTTCAACAACGGCATCTTCAGGCTTAGGTAACTTGAGTTCTATAGGCTGGAACTCAAAAGGTGCGCCATCGAGAGTAAACGTTGCTGGTTGAAATTCTCTCTGGACTTTTGTAGCTGTAACTTCCTCCTCCGTTACATCTTCTGGCTTAGGGATTTTGAGTTCGACTGGTTGAAATTCAAAAGGTGTTTGACCATCAAGGTTTAACGTTATGGGATGGGGTTCTTGTCCTATTTGTCTGCACAAAGAAACAAAAAGGTTTTGTAAAATTTGTTTACCTCAAACAAGATAAAATAGTTAATACCTATGAAAATAAGGGAAGAGGCTGTATTTTTTATTAACTTATGCCTTACAAGTGCTCGATTTTAAAAAAAAACAATTACTAGAAAAGTAAGCACCTATATACACGTACGTGCAATATTGAATTTGATGAAAATATACTTAGACTTACATTGTTGTGGTCGTTTCTTCACGTGGTGGCTCTGTTTAGAATGAAAAAAATATTAGAAAACAATTTTCGTTATGCTTTAAGAAAGTCGAAAAATAATAGCTCAACTTTACCTGGAAGTGATTCCTGGTCGTCGATTGTTTCCGGTATAACATCATCCTAAATTAGTAAAATAAAGTAAATCTAAGGATATACAAAGCTGATGGTCTTCTTATCTTTGGGAGCTCATCACAAAAATGAGCAAGAAAGTAATCAAACCTACCGTCTGTGGCTTTTGCATCAACTCTGCTTTGAAATCTGTAAAACAAATTATGTTATCAATGAAAAGTACTGATTTTAAAAAAGAAATATATATTTGCTATTTTCAATTTTTAAAACAAACATACCCCCTTTTATTTGGACTTCCATTCGTGATGTTCTTCGCTGAAGTATTTTCGAAGGGACCCAAAGTTCATTACCATGAGATCCATCTGGTTGTATTTTTACCACTTTGTACATGCCAGATCGCGAAACCTTGTCAAGAACCAGCACACTCTCTTCTCGTTTGAGATCACCAACTTCATCTTCATAGTCCTCTATGGCAACAAACATCTCAATTCCTTCTGGCATACCGACAGATATCTGCATTCTGCGAAAGTCAAATTTGAATTAAAAGCGAAAATCAGAACCAACATAAATGCTATATGTAGCCAGCCTCAGTATTACTTCAAAGAAACATAAGAATCATTTGGAAATTTGATTAATAAGCCTGATGAACTTACTCCGTTTGTTGTCGGATTTCATCGCAAAGACGGTCCAGAATTGCCTTCGCATCCTTTGAAGTTAAAAATAAATATCCAATTTAAATAAGAACACTCATGACAGATGACTGCCAATCAAATACCTTGATGTGACGTGTTTCTTCGCCAGCATCTTCTGCTGTCTCAAGCATCTCAGTCAATGTGTCTCTATATTCAAATACACGTTCGAGTGGACGCAGAAGGAGAGTACTGAGAGGACGTGCGTTGCGTCTCTTCCTGCAAGCCTACCCAGAAAACAAAGTTCACCAGTGAAACTTTATAACAGCTGACGATCTTAAGCAAGTACTGCTATATGCTAAAGCTATTACTATTACAATTACTAATAGTTTTTCATTGCAATCTGTACCTCAAAGTGCTCTGTGGGAGTAGAGGCTAGGATCATATCTGAATCTTCTTTCGCATCACAATAGTCCAAGTACTTGTAAAGATTGTGCTCCTACAGTAATACCAATTATTTATGCGCAGTTCACATCAAAGCAATTATAAATAAATCACACTTACCCTATCAGTAAAAGGACGTCCAATTTGAGTTGGAGTTGATTTCAGTTTTTTGAATTCTTGAAGAAGGACGCTGCAATAGAAGAAAGGTACTGTATGTCATTTATCATCTCATACGAAGCATCTCAAACCAGTATCAGCATCATTGTCGTTTGTTAACATACACTTTATGGAAGAAGTAAATTTCCTCGATGTTGCTGAAAATTGCATCTTTGTTTTCTCTAATCTGTGGTGGTGCGCCGCCCATTTCGTAAAGATAGTCCTGCAACGACGAAAGTTATTTCTCAAAGTTATCGTATTAAGAAATGTGTGAGAATCTCTGGAGAAGTTTCTGTTACACTCAGATGCTATTTAGTATTTAACAAAGGTAAACAAAGATATTGGGCAATTTAATCATACCTCAACAATTGATTGTAATTCGCCGATGTAGTTCTCTTCACTTTCAATCAGTAACCTTGTCAGTTCATCCAAGCGAGTCAACGCTGTTTGTTTTGATGTGGCAACTTGGTTCGCATCACCGAAAGGGCCCTGTAGCTTGAATTCCACAGTTCCCATCCCGTTGAAAGGAACGACTTGCACTTCAGTGCCAACTGTTTCAGGGATTGATATACGTCTAGGAGGTGTTTCTGGTGGAGTGAACACCAGAGCTTGACCAGCAAACTGCGGGACAACAACTTCAGCACGTCCAGGAGGCCTGATAATGGTATACGAATGTAATCAATATTAGAAACTGAATACAAAACGATACGAAGATGCGTTTATAATTCACTTACATTCGCTCTCTAGGCTGCAAGGAATCTTCGATTTGTCTGCAGATCTCTTCGTTGGAGTCCTTCATTTCGCCTTCTTGAGACTCATAGTCATCAAGCCTCGGGTGTTTGCCATCAGGAGCGGCTTGTAGATCTACTCTGGAGTGTATGCGAACTTCAAGTTGATCTCCTGGAGGAGCTGAGAAAAAATAATCTGTAAGGTTAAAAAGTGCGAGAAAAGGTTTAGTAATATTTGTTCAGTTTTTCCTGTTGTTGTTGTTGTTGTTGTTGTTGTTGTTGTTGTTTCTTTTGATGTCGTGGATTTTACCTTCTGGCCTGTCAGACCTAAGTGTTTCCAGTTCTGTTCGAGTTTCCTGTTTTACACTGGTTGTTGTTTCTCTTGTTGTAGTCTTGTACGTTCGTTTACGAGTAACTTGCGAAGCTTCAGGTTCCTCAGGTGATGGCGATCGATAACTGACTACGTTCATGTCTGTTTCAACCTGAGAATCAAAGACATTTCTGGCTCCAATACAAGTATAACATATCTATACGGAATCACAAACATAAGCCATCGTGTTTTACCACAATGTTACTGACCTGAACGTCTTTATGGACAACTGGTCCAACTGAAGTGTACGTTACGTCTCTTTTTACCACCTCTGAGCCAGATGGACTCATTGTTACAGCGTACTGCGGGTCTCGTTTAGTATCAGCATCAATACGAACCATAATCTGCTGTTCTCTAGCATCTGTCGGCTTCATGACTTTTCCTCCCTCAAACCATCCACGTATCTCTGTTTTAATGATTGGTTCGATCTTTTCTTCTGCTTCTGTTGACAATGTCCCATCTGACTTGATGCTAACCATGACCTGTGCACGTTTTCCTGGTCCCACTTCCTCCAATGAATCGCCTCTTCGTTTTCGTCCAAGGACGCCATCCAAGAAAGTGGTGAGGTTAGTGCGAATTGGAATAGATTGTTCTTGGTCGAAGGTGTCTGGAGGACGCATTGCAAGTTCAGCTTCATAGGCATCTAAACTTTCAGAAATACTTTCGACTGTCTGTTAGGGAAAAAAGATTCAAGTGAGTGAAATGAAGCCCTACCTCCCTTGTATCAGACATTCGAATCAATAATCGGATTCCAAATTGGAATCTCGTATCATAGCATGCTTTTGTTTTGTACTTAAAACGTTCTTACTTGTGGTGGTAAACCCAAGCGATTTCTTTCCCTGAGTTTCTCTGCAAGACGATAAAGGTCGTTGTCCATAAGATCGAACTTAACAGCGACTTCTTTCTGCTTGGCTACCAACTGTTTTGCTTTACGTCTTGGTGCATCAATGACAAGTTTGGCCGATAAGTCACCGATCTTCTTTAATCGTACTTCTTGTTTGTTAAGTCCGGGTCTAATAAAACCTTCCATTAAGTCTAACAAGTCAATAACCTCTTCTTCGGTGCGACATTGCGCCGCTTGTTCTCGTGTATTCTGAAGAAAGTGTTCACTGTCACTTGTCCAGGTTAAGGCCTGAAACACGAATGGCAGAATGCGCGCACATTTCTCATCAGTACAACACTTATAAAAATCCCTTAATAATAACCACTGATTTACTTTATCGCCCACTTTTTTAATAAAGATTATTTATTCTTCATTAAGAAGAAAAAGTTAGAATTATTTTATATCATTGTCTAACCTGTTCGTAAAGCTGGTGGAATTCAATTGAAGCTTCTAGCATAGTACGATGTTCTTCCATTCTCGACAAAAATCGCTTCCATCGAATCTCCATTGACGCTGTTTGACTGTGAATGGATGGTGCATCATGATGTTTCTCTCTGATCAAACGATCGGCCTCGTTTACTAGTCGTGTTACTTCTTGATCAGTTGGCTAAAAAAGAAAAGAACTTATCATCAAACATATGGATTTCTGAAGTATCATTTCATTTCAATCATGTACCCATATATGTTATCATCGTTCACCCCTTTCAAAAACCTACCTTGACTGAATCCAGAAATGCATCTGATTCTTGTAACAGTGTCACTGCATCAAGCAAACTTTCTCCGAATCTTTGATTCAACTCGATTAGTGCTTGATTATGTTTCTCGATCCTCAGATTCGCCTGGATAATATAGACCGATATTATCATCATATTCCATTTAAATATTTCTTGAAAAGAAGATGTGCATGCTTCAATCTCTAGCTTACTTACATTACTTATTGATTGCTCAAATTTACACACTTTGACGCTTTCTTCGAGTTTAATTTTATGATGTTCCCAAAGGCTTGCCCACTCGTCCTTCCTGGTCTCACTCTCCTCCAGAAACCTCTTGATTTCTTCTCTAGATATCGAGATAGATTCACTGGTTCCTACTTTCTTCAGGATATCACGACCCGTGTTGATTGTAAAGTTATAAATGTCTGCCACAGTTTGGTAATTGGCCAGGTGATCTTGTAACATGAGTTGGGATCGGTTTAGATCTGGAGCTACCTGTCTACTGCGAAACTTCTGCATCATATTGTCTGTTATTTGAAGCAACTGAAATACAAGATTAATGTTCAGCATACAAACAAGTAAACAAGTTAACGGGAGTCAATCGCTTTTCTTAAAATGTATATTTGTAATTTATACCAGTCCTTCAAGAGTAAAACACCTTTAACTCACCTTATCAACACTAGTGAAAAACGTTGCGCACATGGCTAAAAGCACTTCGTAGTCAGACATCAATGTCTTAAAGCGCTCGTAAGCTATTTTTAGCTCGTCTGTGACTAGAGCAATAGCTGCCTGGTAGCTAAGATCTTCCTCTGATAGGTTCTCAGCGGCGTGAAGATGTCGTTGAACGTCTTCATCAGTTCTCTGCATGAGATAATCATCATTAATCATCTTAATATCAATATCATCAACGTCTTAATCATCATGACATTTCATACCTGTGCAGCTTCTCGAAATTTTCTGAGTTTTTCCTCGAGGTCTTTAGGGTCTGCAGGAAGCGAATTGTAATCGACCATTACAGGAAAAAACTGTTCACTTTGTTCCTCGATCCAAGATATAACCTATTAAACCAAAATATTAACATTTAGCAGTTCGATAATTGATGATTATGAAGATGAATTAGGACCTCTTACCTGTCTAGTGTCACGTTCAAATTGGAGAAATTCTGTGCTAAGTTGTTGGTGCTTCTGGAATTGCTCATCCCTTAGTCTCCATAGTTGGTCAAGATTACCAAGTCGGTCTTGTAAGTCGATAAGGATAGTGTGAATGGCACGGCCAGCAGAGTCGCGGTTCAAATACGTATCTTTAGGTTCCTATGAAAAATAACAAAACAAAAACACCTAATCAATACTGACACGATGAATAGTTTGTGCAATCAAAAATTGTACCATTTCCACACTTTCTAAATATAAACAAAGAACACCAAATGTGACAAATAAAATGCTTTAAACGCGGTGTACGAGACAAACTTACTCGTTGTAACTGTTCCATTAACGTACGCGCATCTTTCTGAAGTCTGTCTGAAGCGGCAATGATGGCCTCTCGAGACTGACGTTGACGAGCAAACATTAAAGCTGATGCATCGACGTTTTCCTTTGGCTCGTCACTCGTCAACTGCGATTCCAGGTCGTTCAACGTTTCCCACAGCTGACAAAAGATATAAAAAATATTTGATACTTTACAGGGATAAAAAGGACACGCAAGTATACAACACAGAGAGGAACCATATATAATGTCTTCTTAATGTAGGTGTGGTAGAAATTCTTACCGTTTTTCTATGTCTGTGAAAGTCGTAGTACAGTTTGCCTAAGGAAAGTCTGAAGGAAATACGATTGTTCATAGTGGACCATACACTCTTCAGCATTTTTACACGATCTTCATCGGATTTTGTTTGAATGGACGACGGTGAAGTCATCTGTCGAACTTTCTCGTGCAACTCCTTCAAAAATACAAATATTGTCCGCGATTATAAATCAATGATAACAAACAATCAATACTCATCGTTGACCAAAGGCTGCCACGCCCTTTAATACTCTGTTCTTTTTTTTATGATCATATAACTTTCGCCAAGTATTTGAGATATCTTTAGTGTTTATAAACAATTCTGACGTACCTGGACTTCTGCCTCTAAGTCCTGGTGTTGGTTGAGGAAGTCTTGGGACGACTTCATCGTGCAGCCCATTTCCGAATTTGAATCCATGAAGCTTTCTGCTGCGTATTTGATCCAACCGATGACCTCTTCGATTTCTGTGTCGAGTTCATTTTCGCCTTGCAAATTCACTACTAGAGCTTTACTTCTTTCGCGTAATTCTTCGTATATTTTTACGACAACAGGCTGCTGCATAGGCTGTCCGAGTCGTTCAGAGAGTAGACGTCCTTCTCGTATTTGGGAAGCTGACGCTTGACTAATCTCTGCCAGGATCTGCCTCTGTTCCTCAGCGGAGACTTGGTCATCTGTCAGCCTACTTTCGATCTCGGATAGTTTTGTCATTGCCTGTAAGAAAGAATCAATAAAAAAATTGTGTCCTTCACTTTAATTTTGTCTTGTTTATTCGTGAGAGATTCAAGTGGTATTACATCATTGAATATATCTTTATCGATTTTCTCATTTTCAAATTAGGTAAAAGGGAAACATTCGTCGGCTCTAAAGACGTAGTTTTTTTAAACAAACCTTTTGTCCATTTTTATAAAATGCATATGTTTTAATGAGGATTTTCTTTCTGTCATCGAGTCTACTGAAGAAGGTTCGGAAGTCAACCTGTAGTTTGTTGATTATTACAACAGTATCCTCGGCATTTTCAAAATCAGCATGTGCCAGTTTTTCTGTTTCTCTAGCCAGTCTTTCCACGCCTTCTTCTTTTTCCTATTCAATTTAACGTTGAATATTAGTGATGCAACCATTAGTAGCGCAACTTATGCTGATTGATGTTTGTGAAATGTTGATAATGGTCGGGTAGACTGATGATGATGAGGATGATGATGATGGTGGCGGTAGTGGCGGCGACTGATAACAATGATGATGATAATGGTAATAAATAGCGTGTACGACCTCAAAGAGTAATTCTTACCTTTGCCGCTGCTTCAAACTTTCCATGTTCATCAAGAAGCACTTGAGTAGAAGGAGCGCTATCACCGGTATCTTTGTAGTTTAGGTAATCTTCCGCTTCCTCTTGAAGCCATGCATTCAACTATATCATAGTAAATATACAAATAACTAATTACTCGTACACTTTACTTGTTACTCGTACTCGAAGAGCAATTTTAATTGATTTATCAAAAAACAAAGTCATCGAGATTAACCTTGCGTCGGCTTTTAATCGCAACACCGTCGTTGCTGCACTGCAACGCCTAACGTTTCTCACTCGTGAGACTCGATTTTTCATGAAATAAACCATATTAAAAACAAAAATATAAATATAACAGTACTCACCCTTTTCGCCTCCTCTTCGATTCTACATTTCTTTACAGACTGTTCAAGGTTTTTCTTCCTTCCTTTCCACAAGTCGTCGAGTTGTCTTCTACGGAGATGCAGAGCTTCAAGCACTCGTTCAATGCTGTAACACGCTGCCTTGGTTGCATGTCTGTTATTGGTGTCAGCATGGATACCTGCCTGGCGCAGCCGATCTAGTAAGGCTTGACCTTTGGCGAGGGTCTGCATGGAGACTTCGATGACACTCTTGCGAAGGTCCTGATATTGGTTGAGTAAGGATGAAGCGGACGTTACATCTTCTGCGAGAAGAGCTTTACTTAGCTCGTCATGAGCCGCAGTAAATTTTTCTGTGAACTATATAAAAAACAGGAATTTAGAATTCAAACTAGTCAGCTGTTCATACCAAGAGAGAAAGGAGGAGGAGAAGGTCACTCCGGAGTCAAGTAGGATCGTCGGGAATTTTACAAGATCGAACGTTCCGGACGTATTCGGTCAATATTTAGGGACTTATGAGACATATATGTAAAAATGAAAGAAAATAGTACTTAAGGAGTGCTTAAGGTTAGTGTAACCTTAACCAACAACACTTCCTTAATATAAAAAAATACCTAATGTTCATACCCGACATGACCTGAAATCAATGTATCACTTCCCAGCATTACAACATTATCAGAACTAATCAATGATATTGTTGTTGTTGTTGTTGTCGTTGTTGTTGTTTTTGCACTTGACTTAAAAATATAGGTTATAAATATAAAATGGAAAGGCAAATTATTTATGTCATGTTTTTATAATATAGATGTAATACTATGAAGAGCGCGATTTATTGCGCCGGTAAATACAAGCTCGCACGCGTGATTGTCTTTGCGTTTATTGGTGAAATAATGAATGTTGGGAGAACACCCAAAACTCGTTTGACTCGTGTTTTAGGCCTTGTTTTTTTCATGTTCTCTCAACATCCCCTCGTGATTTATTTAACGGGAAAACGGCTTAAATAAAGCTGAATAAGTTTTTTTTAAGTAAGTATTTGCACCTAAAAAAATTGATTTTGTATGGGTCACCTAGCATCATTGTTGAAGCCTAATTTGAACATGTTGAAATGTTTGTATCGGATGTACTCCTAAGGTCAACCAATCGTGATCTACTCATCCTCGTCACGCAATATCCATCTATATTCTTCTTTACAATAATCAGTATCTGTTTAAAACTCGTCCATAAAATCTTTACATAATGAGATTGGAAATGAACTTTTCATGTTTTTCTTTGCTTGAAATGTTTGGTCAGTAAATGTTTTCGTACAAATATTGAGCTCTTTTGGATTTCTAAAAATGCAATCGTTGAAAATCGAGGAGTATATTTCGCATAATTTTCCTATCATGTAATACCTCAAAGATAACATAATCCACATGCAAATTCAAACTCGACTGTTCTTAGAATTTAAAACCACATTAAAGAACAGAAGTCCTTTAAGACGACATGGAATTAGACATGGCAATAATACAATACTATCAGAGCCGTTGTTTGTTGGCAATTAACGCAATACTCAAACACAGAAAACTGTTTCTAACGGCGCCCACATAGTGCACAAAACATACAGCAAAAAATTACTATCTTTCAGAGTGGGATTCCTAAAGAGCCATCTACTTGAAATAATATCGAAATCGCAAAGTGGAACAGCATCCAACGGTGGAATTGCGGGACATAACGAGCTAATGACAATGGTGCGTCTAGTATTGTAATTGAACATGTAGTCTAATTCACAGAACAGAAGAGTTTCATTAACACTAACGTAAGTCATCTATACTACCTGAAACATTTACTCTAGCTTTAGAATGTTGCCGAAAGCATAACTCGTAAACAATGTCTTTGTAAGTAAAACGTTTTACCTGGTCCTGTCCGTGGACTTGTGTTAGGTTTTACCGCTCTTCTTCCTGCACTCGTTCCTAACAAACAGTTTTAGAACAAGGAGAAATTCTCGAGCAAAAAGTCTACGTTGACAGCTGTACGTATGTGCTCGATGCGGTTGTGAAGAGGGATAGGGTTTCCAGCAAAATGAGACAGCACTTCTAACCATTCCTGTCATACCAAACGGTGTGACAAAAGGTCAGAGGGTTCGGTAAAAAGGAAAATTGGTTTACGATCGATTATCTAAGAAATGCGATATATGATGAAAGAGACAGCTAGCTCAAGAGAATCAATCACTTTTACTACAGGTAGTAAATAGTAGTCGGTTAACGTCATAACTACAACTGACGATTACTACTGTTAACAAGTGACATGTTACTTATATAGTTGCAAATTCTAGTAGATTTATATCTGTATAACATTTCAAAAATATTGCAATAACGTCAATTGGTCTGGTCTTGATGATGGCTGAGGATTTTACCAGGTCGTTGGTTAACCACTCCTTGATGCTTAGCTGTTTTATGGACCCCGCACAAATCAAACTTGAGATAAGTATTTTAAATCAAAATACTTCCCATGTTGTTTATAAATCAACTTAGACATTGGTAAAGTGGTCAGCTTGGGAATTCTCAAAACTGAAGATAAAAGAGCTTTTAGAATCTACCACTGTCTGCATCAAATCACAAAATTACATATTCACGTTGACTGCTGCAATATATTATCACAAAGTAATAATAAATCGTCTACTTCGAGATGTTTTTGCAAACCCAGAAGGTCATTCCAGAAATAAAATCCACAAAATCATCAGTCCATAGCTAAATATATCCACCAGAGACTCAAGCCATATTTGGAAATGGCCTTGTAAGAAGGGCGCGTATATGATTTCTCTAAGTATTCAGCACGGCTTTCGCGAGAACGATCTATATGTTATAATCTCTGCAATTAGAAATGGGTGCTTGGTACTTTTTCTATATTTATAGCATTCTAGAATCAACATACATTGTATCAATTAAGATGAAGAAGGCCGGTTTTTACATAAAAACAATAATGAGATTAACCGCATGGAACTAGGTCACGCTATTATGTTATCAGCATTTACTGATTTGCTATATTTTTCATAGCCTATTATGTATATATTATTTAATAAAAGAATTATAATACAGCAATTTTGCATAAACACTTGAACTGATAAGTATAATAAAGCAATTCATTGATATGGGTGTGGCCATTTTCATTGTCCTACGTTAAGTAGCCACAAAAATCCTAATAACGATTTTGCGCTTTAACGCAATGATAAATAAACGGAAACAATAAACATGTTCTGTTTTTTCTGGATAATAAAACTAATCTAATGTTTTCCGCATGTTGAAATATAAAATTAAACTTAAAAAGCAGCTTATTTTAACTGTTTCCTTGCGTCCATCTGCTTATCTGTCCATCATTCTTGTGGCCTATCCATTCGTCTACTTATAACTGTCTTCTCTAGTGTCAAACTTTAATCATACATGTTACAGTACCCGACGTGTGAAAACATTTCCAAGAAAAGATGGACACAAAGAGACGCCCTACCGACACACATTGACCTCTTCGGCAAGACGCGCGAACCTCTCGACAACCATGACATTACGCGAGGCGTTTTCAAAAAGAACATTCTAGAACTAGTGAGGATTCAAAAAAAAAGAAAAGAAATAAAGAAACCCGGACCATTTTTTTTCGAGTGTTATTCAGTTCTTCCACAGTCTAATTGCTAATGAATATAGACACCATTATCTCATTACCCGGGATTCATTGATGTTTTCAATTTGTCATTTATCAATATTAATCATTGATCAATATCGATTTACTTATTCGTTCACTCATCTTTTTCGGTGGTAATAATTCTATGAAATCATTTATTCAAATAGTTTACTTGTTAATGTAAATACTGAAAATTGACGGTTGTAAGTAATTAAAGTATTTGAAAGGATAACAACGATAGATCGAATACTTTTCCTCACCTAGCAACCCAACTGTTTACTACTCTGCAATGGTAATGAAATATCGATTTAAATATTAAACACTCCTTACATGAATAAGAGGTACTTTGAATTGTCTTTAGATACATTGTTCAATAATTTTGTGACTGGAAATGAGAAGCACTACATTGACCGTCACGATTCACCCCGCCTTCATTTATATAATGGAGAACCGACAGGTGACATGCATTCTGTGTCCTGTGGTGCAAGCAATAACACTGTAGAATCCTACCTCTTCTACACCATAGTGAAAAGCCAATGATGTATCGAGGAGCAAACGCCGTCCTTCCAATTGTATGTTCAAGTCCCTCCATGCATCTTCCAATGATTCTGCCATTGAACTGCGTTCATCAACTGGGTGGAGCTGTCTCACAGTCCATAAAATTTCCTGGAATTCTCTTAGTTTTCGCTAAAACAAATGACAAACATTTCATGCTATATGTTAAACTGTTTTCGTTTTTAAAATCACCTCTTTCGACACACTACACCAAGACCTTTGAATGAAACATGTTTCGTCTATTAGACCTTTTTCGTCTATTAGACCTTTTTAGTGATCAGATTTAAAAGGATTTCTAGAAAATGACAAACAATTATCAATTATTGGACGTAATAAGGAAGATATTGATGAAGATGATAGTCGTGATGATAGCAATGGTGATGTTATAGTGATTCTACAATAACTAGACCCTGTATGCAGGGTTGACACGTACCCTTTGTTGTGCATGATGTTGTGAGATCATTAGTAAATGAGGCCTTATTAAAACCTTACTGATACAGAATAAAGAAATGATTTGATCCATCGAGCCTTGCCAAGATATATGTGATTTTTGCGATAAGCTTATATGTGGTGGCTCTTAAAATTTCAGCTGTAACTGCCTTTGTGATTCTGCAGTATAATTTTAAGGTCAGATATACCCGGAGATATATAACTAGGCATGATTTGGTTACAACGTGACGCTTTATTAACTTTTGATATGATAGTAACACAATATTTTTGCACATCTACATTAAAACTCGACATATCTATTGCAGATGTTTGAATAGCCATGGAATTAATAAGCATTTTCTAAAGAGTTGTATTGATATTCAATCATTGGAACCCAATCACTATATCGTTGCCGTTGCTTCACGAGTAGTAAGCGTGTTGATCTCTGTAAAGAGATCTCCTCGTCATCACAATTCAACATACCCTTGGTCCGAACACCCAGACAAGTAATGAGTTCCAGATTTTGGTCGTAAACCTTCATGTTCTGTTCCATATTCGTTAGTAGAGACAATATTCATAAAAATGGCGGATAAAACATTGTGCAGAACGAGTTGGAAATGTTGCGAACGGGATTATCCACAGGCTATAGCGTTCGGAATACACAACGTAATGTGATTGGCTACCGGATATATAATTCACAATGTGATTGGCTACGAAGATGTACCGAAGCCAAACTTTCGACATTGTGAAAAAAAAACAAAAAAAAAAAAAACAAGAAAGTGTCAGCATTTTACTACACGTACCCCCTGCATAGCAGGGTACGTGTAATAAATTTTAGTACGAATACTTGAAATGAAAATTAATGGAAAATGCAAATACATTACTACACAAATCATTTTGGGAGATTACACAATAAATTTGCGAACTGTCACTTAAACAACAATAAAATTTGCAGATCCCAAAAGTTCACAGCAAGGGCAAATATAAACTCATTAAACAAGAAAATCGATCTCCACATCCTCCATTGCTAATAAACTATGTAAATATTTATTGAGGGTGGTCAAGATCTTGAAAGATTTATAAAAGCAATTAATGAATCATACAAAACGACTGTAGAAATAGTTTATTGAATGGCAACTCAAGGTCAAACTCAAACCGATGCCACGCTGTTAATTTGATAACACTGCTGTCATTAATACAAGATTTAACAAAATTCTCGATAAAAGCTCCTTACAACAATTTCTTGTCTCTTTAAATACAAAAAGAATGCAAATAAAAACGACAATTGATTTTCACTGCAAATTTCCACAAGCAACACATAACCGTTTTCAAATACGGAAATTGAATTCCCTTTCGCGCGCAATTTCCCACTCCACTGGGAAATATATATTTTGCTAGACGGCGTCCTACTTGAATATAAATCTTAGTTGACATCTCAAAATGCTTTAATTGTCTCATTGTGTACAAGCACAACAAACCAGTCCGACGTAATTTTCTCACGTCAAAAAAACTTCGAATTTCGTTTTAAAGGAATCAGGAAATGACAAGTATTTAACTTGAAAACTTTAGACAGAAACATGACAGAAAGTTCACCATCATCACAACTGGATCTCTATATTATCAAGTTGAATTAGATGAAATGAATTCTAAATAGTCTCAAGAAATGGTCTTTCAAATAGGTGAACCATCTGGACGCTCGTGCCCCATTTATAAAGCAAAAAGAGGAAAACTCCCATAAGTTCTGAAACAAAACCATCTTATTTTGTCCCTTTGTAATGAATACGTTAAAATATAAAGTCGAAATGATTATATCAAGGAAACAAACGGCAATAGTGTTACGAAGTATTGCAATAAAATGACAAATGACATGACCTGTTGACCCGTGACCAACTATAACAAATTCAGCTAAGTTTTTAAAATTAATTAATCCACACACAAAAAATGAAAGCGAAAAAGCAAATACGCCTTATAGGTATGAATACAACGAATTTTCCAAAACAAAAGATATCAACGCCAGAGTTATATTTGTTGCAGTCAAAGATCGAAAAGGAATGGTATTGAATTACTACTGTATGACACATAAACAAAACGTATGCAAATTAACCAAAAAGTAAATCAATTTTTGATCCAAGACATACGATAAAAATACTTGTGTCAGTCATAACACGACAGATTCAAACCCTCTTTGAAGCTTAACATGTTCAACATAATCAACAAACATTAAACGAATATCTGAACTATTTACGACAGTGAGCACAGTCCTAGTGAATTGATGTCACTGAATCGTAATGATTTAATAATCTGTAAGTGGCTTTCCATTGAATTGATCATTGAGACGTTTGTATCGATCGATCGATCGTTCTAAGAAACGATGGAACATTTAATCATAGATATCGTGTGATGCGAGAATTTATTTGTTTACAATTTAAGATAAAAAGACGTCTAGGTAGCGATCGCTGTAGGTGCTAAATATATTAACATTTAGAGTACACTGTTGGCATGTATTCCCAACACTGGCTTAAAAATCGAACAATTCTTCAATAAGACTACCAAGAACAGTGAAAAAAGGTTTCTAAAGTTCCTAGAGTCATGACAAGGATGTAGTTTGAACTAATAGGCCATGACTAATTACATAGACGTAAGAATGTTACGATACTGACTACTTATCTCTTCAACCATCATGTACAAATGAATTCAAGCCAAAGAAATCGATTTTCACTTTTATGTATCTTAAGTTATTAACGAGAGTTTAAAAGTTTTCGCCTGAAATGCACCCAAAGAAGTTCGCGCGGAGATCTGACCTTCCACTAGATCACTCACAGAAGTTTATGAAGAATTTACAACAAGCAAGCCAAGCTTTAAAGTGTTGAGTAGTATTCTTACCTAAAAATGGATGCTAAGTTTGGAGCTCATGTAGGATGATAACGTGCAAAGAAGTTCGTTTGTCGAGTGTTTATTGATTCCACGGTCAAGCCGAATGATTATGCAAAGATCAAATGCCAAACTCCACAAAATCAATACGCATAGCAATACCTAAATTCCAAGGAGCTTTCCACGCCCCAATGAGCAAATATCTGTCTCACTCTTTGTAATTGACTTTAATACCGCGTTAAAGACAACGAAAGTTGACTTAAATGATATCGTGAGCCAATCAAAATTGTTCCTTTGACAGCATATTTGCACAAGCTGGTACTGTTATCTTTCTAAACTTTAGCACCAGAAGTTATACGAGTGGCTGGATTATCTGGTCGGAGCTAAATATCGATTAGGTTTACGCATCAAATAATTCAAATAGAAAAAAATAACACATTATAGACATATTAACATTCGCCGAGGTTGGGCAAGAAGCATTCAAGTTTAATAATAGAATGTATAATATGTTACTTCAAAACAAAACAAATGAAATTATAAACACTGCTGTTGAGTAAAAACAATTCAAATTTCAATGAGCATGCTATTTCAATAATGCTATTTTAAATTATGTCACGCCAGACATAAAACAAAACAAAAGTAAATTTTCATTAGCGTGCTTTGGTAAAGGCAAAACTTTCAATTCTTTATTTAAAAAAATAAGTAATTAATGGCAAAAAATAAATGAAATGTGGAAGATGATGATGAATGAAGGACTTTTGCTACGTGAAAACATGGAAGAACGATAACAACACGAGAGATCCAACACTGAACCAAAAAGCAGAGAGCGTGACATGTGTGACTTTGTACCCAACCCTCTCTTTAAGTTCCACCTCCTCCTCAAGTTGCATTACAAACCTTGACTTCGCTCTCTTGTTTTGTAAAGGACGCTTCGAGAGATAGAGCCTCCTGTAGGTTCTCTCCGACAAGCCACTGGGATCTGCTGACTTGTTTTGATATATTGTGCAACCAGCTAAAGAACTACACAAAAATAGAAAGAAGTTACAAATGCGTAATGCTTCTTCATGTTTCTTTCGTCCGTCCAGTCATTCATTTATTCCACTTTCAAAATATTTATTATTTTGCTTTACCTTATTGACGTCCTCTCCATAATCTTCTCCATGCTTCCAGTTGTTTAACCTCTCGGTCCTGTTTTCCCACAATTCATCAAACATTGCCTTCACTTCCTCCACTTCTTGGAGACACTCCTCAAGAGGATGAGGATTCCTGGTCACATCATCAGGTAATTGCATCCTATGTATCAGTGCTTTTCCCATGGCAACGGTCTCTGAGTATTCCTTGTCGATGGTTTCCATGGTTTCCTGATGAGCAGCAACGACTTCTTCTACAGGCGTTTCGGCGAAAGTGTTCGGGAGATACTCGTGTACATAGTCTGCCCTTAGCTCTGGAATTTTTTGCATTAGCTAAAATCAAATAGCATTGGTTTGAGTTAAGTTATTCGTGACTGTTTCTTTAGAAGACGTATCCACGACAAAAGTCATATCTACTAATATAACACCCACCATTTCTGCACTTCGATAAAACATCAAAGCCACCGATAAACGAGCTCCACGTTCCGCCATAGCGTTTGACAAGTACACCCATACTTGCTCAAGTTTATCTTCCATCTCTTGGTTTGGAGCCATTTCATAGCGACATGTTCTGCGTAACACCAATGAGGCTTGTAACAGCTGCTTACCGTACTCAAAGGTTCCCTATTCATAACAAATGCATATCATCATCATCATCATCATATACCATCAATCAACTATCGCCATCATTGGAAAGAATTGCGTCGACTGATTGACAGACAAAAAATGAACATTATTACTGCACGAGATAATATCACTTACTTTTGCAGTGGCTTCAACTTTGTCGTGTTCTTCTTGAAGGTGATGTGTTTCCACGGAGGTTCGTCCAAGTTCTTTTGATGTATCAACTGCTTCATTGGCGAGCTGTTCCAACCACTCGATAGCCTACAAGAAACAAAATGAGTCACCTTTTTCGTGATTGCTGTGCTTTTTTTGTTATTTCTTTTCTTTCGTTTCTATTGTTGTTTTGAAAGTTTTACCTGGTTTGCATCCCTTTCGCACGTTCTGAGCTGCAAAATCTGTTGAAGTTTTAACCTCCGAACATCGCAAAGTTCATCAGTTCTTTGTTTTCGTTCTTTCAGTTCATCAACTGTTGACTGTATGTACTGTAAAGCTTGATCACAGTCAAGGAGGTCGGATTCTCCTTGGGCATTTGTGGTATGTTGACGCAGAAGTTGCATTAACCCGTGACTGTCACGCAAGGTTTCTTCACAAGATGACTTAACAGCTGAAACAACCATTACAAACATACACCATATAAATCATTAAAGCACTATCGCAAAAAAATCAAAACTATATTTGGTAGACGCCCTATGCTACTTTCAAGCATTCTCAACATAACCTGGGGGACAGTGACAAAATAAGCTTTTTGTATCCTGTAGGAGGATCTGAAAGCGAATTGTTTTCAAGTGAGATATATTTGAAAGTACACTTGGACTTCCTGATTTGTGAGTATAAAATTCTACTTCATCTTGCTTCAAGAAAACATTCAAGAATGTGGTGGTTTCAACTTAATATTTTGATTGTAAGACTTATAGCTTTCTGTGCCTCGAAACCTTTAACAACAGTTGTTCATTCAGTTCGTCATTTCAAAATAATTTAGATGTTATACTTATAAGTTTAGTACTAAATTAAAGTCGTCATTCTGGACAAATTATGTTCCCTGCAAAGTACAGGATCTGCAAACAACATGGAGCTTCAGTATAAATAAAAAAAAAGATATAACTTAAGCTTTTAAAAAGCTAAAACTTCTATGTGACGGCCGTCTTATCTTGCTGTAAAACATTAAAGTAGCCATCAGCTTCAATGCCTACCTTCATATGCATATTCAGACAATAGAAGCAGAATCAAAGCAGAAAGTCGAAATAGTTGTTGTCCATGAAAAAAAATATCCGAGAGGAGACTGGGAATGAAAGAAAAACGCGGGAATTTGTTGACGCGCGCGCGCCCAAGCGCCTTGTTGTTGGATTACCTTCGACTTTCTGCTCAAGAGTAGAGAGCATTTTTTCAGCACCATCCAAGCGATCTGTCATAATCGCATCTGAGCAAAGTAGGTCCAAAAGGTCTTCGAGGAGATTTGAAAACTTGAAAGCACAAAAAAATGCTGGTAAGTTAATAAGTTAAAGGCAAACATAGTAGCTTAACATCAATAGAAATGAATTGAATTATAAAAAAAAGGTTGATTTTCGCTTGCAATTTTCAAAATTCCGGACGCTATAGATCAGTATTCACTTTAAACACTGCTTGTTCTTTGGATTTGATACCTACCACAGCTGAGTTTTGATGAAAGCTGAGTGAAAGCATCACAATGTCCCTCCTTAGTTCCATTCTTGATGCAAAACTACGACATACTTTGTCTAGATAGTCCTTCCTGGACAGAACGTCCTTCGAAGCGTAATGGTTTCCACGAAGCATTAGGTTGGCTAGGTCACGTACTTCACCAAATTGATAAATAATCCCCTATAATTACAGATAAATGAAGTTCATCTTACAAACAGTAATGTTATCCGAGTAGTATTTACCCGTGCAGTAGACTCAAAATCATCATGAGCTCGTTTATGAAACTCGCAACTCTTTACGGAATCTCCAATTTTGCTGGATGTCGACAGGTATGACTCTCCTGGTCCCAGAATCCAATCAACTATCTACAATCACAATCATTTCATAAGCAATATAATCCGAGAGAGACTGAGCACTAGAGAAATGAGTCGAGTAATAATATTACCTTGTAAAAGCCAATATCGAATTCTTTTAGATCTCTTGACTGCCTGTCATCCGACCTTCTTTTCTTCGGTATTCGTGGGAGTTGCTCATCTTTCCTCATCAGTTTTTCCGAATCTCTTCTCCCATCTTCTTCGGTTCTCATAGAAACTGCAGTATCAGACTTCCGCTGTCCAGGCTGTGGTGATCTATCAGCAGAACGTTCAATCTCCTAAACGTTGATAAGAAAAAGATAATTAACATAATCACTATGATCGTAACCATATCCGTCATCAATTGAAGTTACAACGTCGTCATCAACCCCACAATAATCCTCTTCATCATTAGTAATCATTTTCAATTAGTGGCCATGAAAATCATTATATCATATACCATTCGTCGACGTATCCACTCTTCATGGTCGTATGTTAAAGGTCCTCCTAATTCGTCAGGAAGCTGAGATTCGTCCATAAATTGGTTGAGCTTAGCCGTGGATGAGATTATCGTGGTCTATTGGACAAAAAAAGAATACGTCCAATAAAATAAGCTCCATGGGGTAAGTGGCTTGCAATGGATGTCCATAACAAAATTATAGTAAATCTCATGGCAAAATTCAAAGGCAAAATTCTGATTCCTCATCATACAATCAGTATACTCCGGCTTCTAGTAATGTACCTCGCATCCTAGACTTGACACTTCCTTCTTTATTCCAGCATCTGATTTCCTTCGTTCCCAAAATGCATCTGGTTTTACGACGATTACGCTATGAATGTCACTTCCGAGTGTCTCCTAATTCATATCAAACAGAGTTCAAGTGCTATAAACTGTTATTAAGACAAATATGTCCATAATAGAAACGTTTAAGGCGAGGAGCATCCTCGGGAACCCAGGGGTAATCTTCTGTCGTTCGTTCCTCACTCCCAGAACTCCTGACGAACGACAGAAGATTACCCCTGGGTTCCCGAGGATGGGCGAGGAGGAGAGGATGAGGGGTATATGACTGAGTACAATATAAAAAAGTCTTACGTGCAAGGTCTTCACAATGGGCTTTGCTGACTTCCATGTCGAGCCTCGTAAATCAATAATAAATGTGAAACCATTTTCTTGAGATCTTTCACTGGAAAACATAAAAATGCAAACCACAATTTCCTCATGGAAGTAGCCACTCGGACGATCGTCCGTTCAGACGACCTTTTCCTTTTCTTCCTTTTTGTGTGTGAATCGGTTTTTATTTGAAGTCCGATTTTTTCCCCTCATTTGTTCTTTCGTTTTAATTTTTATTTTTTCATCACTTTTGTGGGGATTACATGCATGACCCGCCAAAGGAACACCCATGCAAAACACCATGGAGTATCAAGTATCAAAACAAACTGAATAGACGACAGCCTCCCCGTAGGTCTCTATTTAAATTGCAAAAGGCTCCAAAACTTCACTAAGAAAGAGAGGCTGGTGTTTGGAGAGAGATTAAAGGTCGTCTAGAGTGATAATTGACGATGCACGACAAGCATTTACAGAAGATAAACACTAAAGAACGCACAGACATTCCAGTCTTCGTATCATCATAAATTGTGAAATCCCATAGAATAGACGTATTTCTTTCGGGAAATCGAGACTAATTGAGCTTAACGCTTTCTTGAACAATCACAATAAACCAGACCACGCTCTAATGAGCACTAGTAAAATTATTCTAAATTATTACACACTTTGTAAACACCGATATACCTAACTCTTACCCTGAACTTTTCTCTTAAATTTGTCAAGCAAAATATCGTTACCTTGGCAAATGGACCAAGTATCGTAATGTTTTGTTGAGTGTATCACTGCGCTGTTCGTCAAACTTCGATGCAACAATCGATATGACAGGTCTTCCTTGCCGATCATGCAAACCTCGGAATCGAAAAATACACAACTTAAAATTCGCCTACCTAATAAAGGTTTAAACTAGAGTTTACATGAAATATGCTACTGTGTTATAAAATGGTGTCCACTGTTCATTGTTCGTGCAGATACTTAACGTAACTGTCATCATATATAACTTAAATTTAAAAATAGTCCCCACTGATGACTTGTTAGTAATCATTTTAAAGAGTATATTAGATTCATTACCACATAGAAAGGCAGTTTTCTCTCGTAAAATATCAGCAATATCTCTGGCATAAACTCTTCTTCTGGGCGCTAGACCACAAGAAAAGTTATACATTGTGACATTAAATAATAGCTTTTGATATATCATTGTTACTGAACACACTTACACTTCTGAGGTCGCCGTGACCTTCGAGTATCCGTGTACAAAGCATACTCTGGACGGTAGCTATGTGTTTGAAAAGACAACTCTTCGAATCCGGCAAGATCATTGTCTTTCTTAGACTTGTTGTAATGCGCCATAGTGATGTTGTTTAGTGGCCCCGGGGCGTCCCTGCTCGGGTAGGTGGAAGCCGATCGTCTACGTTCAACGGTTGAGGTTAAAAGCTGTCAAACTTTCAAGTTTCGGGAAGTGAGCAATCCATTAGTTAGTATCAAAACCTTTGAATAGAAATGATTCAGTGTCCCCTTAAATCGAGATATTCATTCTCGTATATTTCTTACTATAATGATGCTCCTTCATTTCAACGGTATCTGAAATGTTGCGTTGATAATCAAGGATACTCGGTCAGCGGTCAACTATGTATCACTATGTCAAGAATTTGGCGATTCGATTGGTGATAGCACAAAATTCGATCAAGTTGATAGTTTTAATTGGTGTTCTTTAATAATTCAGAAAATAAATCTGAGTTAAATCGTAAGAAAGATGCGATAAAGAATAACCTCATAACGATATCGCCCTTCTCTTTGTGTACTCTTTTGTTTGTTCTCTCATCAATATTCGAAATCATCGAGATTTGATGGATGTTTTCCACGTATTTGCGTTAAGCCACGTCGACGACGATTGAAGCATAACAAAGACTAAGATAGCGTGGATAAGATAGGAATATAACATTGTGAAAGATTAGAAAAAGCCTTCTTGCTGTTTTCATACTCTATGAGGGTTGGTTTGAGGGGATGGGCCAGCAAACTTTTAGCAAAATGTCTATCAAATCCCACTTTTTTTCCAGTGTCATTTTTATATCAAACCTATAAATATACAACACGGACGCGAGTGCAGTTAATCGACTTAACTTTATAGGTCTAGTATTGTGTCATTTTTATTTCCTCACCCGGCACATGGCCTAATGTTATTGTTCAATGATTAAACGGAATATAAAGATTTACAAGCGGGATTCTATGTTACTAATAGACTGGTCTGATACTTGGTGTCTTGTAAGAAATCTGGAAAAAATGGACTTGAAAGCGCGTCTAAAGTCGTGATTCGTGTAAGCATACAAAATAGGGTTTAATACCGAATTCATATAAGCAAGCCAACAAAATACTGTGTCAGCTAACTCAATATTGCAGTCATAATAAATAGAGTCATTTAGAGTCATGAAATTCAATACAACGTACGGTAACCAACATAGCAAGAAACACAGCACTATTACACCCAAAGCCTTTGCAATGCGCAGTTCACGTCGCAGRGTTTCACTAATTCTATTATTAACAACACTTCCGTCACTCGCTTGCGATGTGCTCATGCGTCGTGAATGATGTCGTGCGATCACGTAGATTTTGATGTACAGTAAAACCATAATAGAAAATGGTATTAGCACATTGCCGATGTTTAGATACCACTTGAAATCTCCATATTCACCCAAATCAAAAGAATARTAGTCACCATCAGGTGGAACCAGTAACACGAACAGCGTTGCACCTACTCCTACCGAATACACCCATACACTTGTTAAAAGCACCTTGATAACTCTGTAAGTCACCCATGTGGGATAGCGAAASGGGTAAACAACAGCAATGAAACGATCTCCACTTATCAATACGAGATTCATGACAGACGCAGTCATCATCAGATAAAACAGTGAATTCCATATGTTACAAGCATAGCCACCGATTGTCCATTGTGGGAAATCCATCCAGTAAATGATATCAAATGGAAGGACAGACGTACAAACCAGCAGATCTGATAATGCCAGGCTAACTACCAGGTAATTGGATAGAGTACGACGAAGAAACGAACATTTAACCATCGATATACAAACCAAAGAATTTCCTAATATTCCACAAACTATCATTACAGAAAGCATCGTAATACCTGAAAAGAAAAAAAACGATCTGATGCTATGCCTGCGTTCATTGTTGCTTAACTCCTGGGAGTTAAACTAGCACCATGTCATCTTGAAACCTACTTCAAGGAGAATGTTTTAACTTTTAAATTATGTGGACTTTTTGAGTATTCACGGTCTAACATTGAGTATCATCAAAATGTTTTGGTTAAATTTACTAGGAATTCAGTTTTAAAACCATGGAAAATGCAGATTAATGCGAGACGATCTAGCTGGTACCTTCCTGGAATACTGGAGTCATGCCTCTTACCTGCTGCAATCAACGGAGGGGAGATCTCTTCGCTACAGACTTCATCATCCTCTTCCGTCGACAAAACTGTTAAATTGCTATTATTCAATCCACTCATCACCTTGGCGTTGTGCCTCTAAACCTTTTTTACCTGTAGCAAAGATCAGTGTACAATTAGTATATCAACCGTATATCAATTGGTACCGTGACAAAACGAACTCTTTTGAAAGCTAGCTCATCCTATTTATACYATTTGTTTGACCAAAAGAGATGTACATTAAAATTGTATATCATCATATAAACATTTTAATATGGCACCTACATATAATATTTGCTTCGATTCTGATTGGCTGAGTGGTCCAGATTGACTTGGAATCCCGGCGAGCGTTGCTGCTGTGTACCTTTGTGTTCCTGTCAAGATGTTATATTAATCAGAAATTCCACTTTAGTTCGTGAACAATTTCCCACAATTTTTGAAAAACAATGTTGAATTCAAGATGGTGTCCATAAACCTTTGGAGGAAAATGCTAGAGTAGTGTTAGTACTTGTGAACTACCGTTTAACTCAATGTGATTGTATGGACAGGTACAAAAAACTAAAGTGTACTTTGATACTCAGAATCTTCTCCTCTCATATGTCAAAAATAAAAGTCATAAAAATTAAATGATTGTTGTGTCAATAGAGTCAGATAAGCAACGAACGGGCACATCATCGCTGATTAATACTAAACGTCCAATTCTTCTTCTTAATTGTGTGTCTTATGGATAGTATGCACTTGCATAAAATATTAATTTTTACTAAATTTTATTTGGTTAAAAAATGCATGTCGATTTTAATCATTATCAAAAAAAGATTACCAAAATAGAGGGGAAATTTCTTTAATGTGTTTACCTTCATGTAGCTTGAATAAACGCAGTTCATATATAAATTATTTAAATCTACTTTTTGTGAACAGACTGGCAATATGGTTCCATCATCTGTACAAAAAGACTGACCTGATATGTTGGTAGATCAGCTATTCGATCTGTTCTCAAACTTCTGACCATCGAAAGCACAATTGTGAGGCAAACACCTGCACCGGCATCAAAGTCGACGATGTCTTATTACACTGATCAATAGATGGCACTTTGGTAAATAAAGATGATATGTCGGCAGAATCTGTCAAACAGGTACTTGATGACGATATCAATTATAATACCATAGCCTTTATCTCCTCATAATCACTTATTTTATCGACAACAAACGAAATCAACAATAAAACCAACCCTGAAGCTTCAAGGTGAAATCATTGACATAGAGAACACTTTGTATGTATGAGTTCTGTCTTCGTCCAATCAAATGACAGTTGAAAAGCTATGTTATACTATAGCCTGATAGAATTAATTCATTCTAATGCTGGTTCAATCCGGTACAAGCCTGAGCTATTTTCATATTATTCGTCGCAATGGAGTAGAGAGCTTGCTCCAGATGGCAGTTCTAACTGTTTGATAACTCAAGATCCGTCTACAAGGTTATTAATTTTATACTTTAAATACCACCTATCATTCACGACAATTATTACTAGATCAACGTGGAGTCAGTTCATGCATATTACGTTCTTTATAGTATATTCAATTCACTCGCAAAAAACGCACAAAATTGTAAAAACTGTTCTTATATTGTGATACGAACGAGTATTTTCTTTGGCAATATCAATATGATTTTTAAGTAGTTGGGTGAGAATCAAACATGAATAACTTCAACAATTAATTTTAAACAATATGATTTCTTGTGTATTTTATAAAGAAAACCGACATTTTGCATCCACAAAGATATATAGAATTTTATAGTAGACTTTGTATAATCAAGTGTATGTATTAATGAAATTCAATAAAACTTAGATCATCATGACCAGACCTATCATAGGGGACGATGATGGATGTGTATATAAAATCACTTGATCTGAAAACATTTGGAGTGAGGCGATAAAAATTAAGGAGTTACGTTTTCAGAAGTGACTTTCAAAATTATTTGGCCTATTTTATCGCCTATTGTATCATAAACTTCGTCTCTGATTTTGTATTACTAAAAATCGTGCGGATAAGAAAGGGGATTTCCACTCGTCCCAATATTCGCCCCATACTAGACACCTAAGTGCTCTTAGTAGTATTGGTTCGATGTTGCTACTTTATTGTGCAATGCTAGATGTATTCTGTCACAAACAGCACTCTCAGTCACAACAAAGAGTAAATAGTATGATAACACAAATTTATTTTATGCAAAAACTGCTAAATGTTAAGACAACCACAAAGTCGCTTTGTAAACTTCATAAACAATCCCACTTTTCACGAGAAGCAAAATTGTCATTAGAAACTAAGTTTGCAGTTTAAGATTAGGAAAAGAAAGCTCCATTAAAAGAAATCTTTAATAGTGACTCGGATTATTAGATCATAGTTGTTTGTTTTAAACTGAGAAATCCGGCACTTTGTCAATAATCACCTCTATGAGTTTTAACGTGCCCAGAATGAGATCGAGGCTCAATATGCAAATGTGATCTTATCGAACATATTTTTATTTATTAACCTTGGTTGACCATGAAAATTCAACAGTGAAATGACCAGGTTGCAAATTATCGCTCACGCATCTATGAATGAATGTCATATAGACGGTTTACGTTGAAGTTCCCTGGGAATCTTTACTTTGACTCGAAAAATGAATCATAACGAAACATTTGGCCAAAGACCGGCGGCCGTTTGCCAGGAAAGGCTTTCCCTCACGTTTTACGTAATTGGTAGGTATTCTTTCTACGTTTGAACCTCTTAACATTGTGATGATCTTTTGGATATGAATCGGCATTAATTGAGTGGTTTAACACAGATAAATGACACGTACTAACTAAAATTATAGGTCACCTAGAATGAAGTATAATGTAGTAAAGTCATGCATTTCTTCAGATTTTCTCTGTTTTATGTTACATTTTTTTAATATCACAGCAATTAATATAACATGGTAAAAAATAATTCAGACTTGAATTGAATTAATTTATATGCTGGCTGTGGTAGCAACAATGTCACGTGTTTGACAGAATCTATAGAATATTTGATCAGTTGCACTAGTGTTTACATTCGATATTTAGCACAACAGGTTACTAGTAGATATGGAATGTGATTAAATCATGTCATTTTCCAGGAATTATCACGATTACATCCATTCTCATCGTTGGATTTGCTGGAAATTCTTTGGTTTGTATATCGATGGTTAAATGTTCGTTTCTTCGTCGTACTCTATCCAATTACCTGGTAGTTAGCCTGGCATTATCAGATCTGCTGGTTTGTACGTCTGTCCTTCCATTTGATATCATTTACTGGATGGATTTCCCACAATGGACAATCGGTGGCTATGCTTGTAACATATGGAATTCACTGTTTTATCTGATGATGACTGCGTCTGTCATGAATCTCGTATTGATAAGTGGAGATCGTTTCATTGCTGTTGTTTACCCCTTTCGCTATCCCACATGGGTGACTTACAGAGTTATCAAGGTGCTTTTAACAAGTGTATGGGTGTATTCGGTAGGAGTAGGTGCAACGCTGTTCGTGTTACTGGTTCCACCTGATGGTGACTAYTATTCTTTTGATTTGGGTGAATATGGAGATTTCAAGTGGTATCTAAACATCGGCAATGTGCTAATACCATTTTCTATTATGGTTTTACTGTACATCAAAATCTACGTGATCGCACGACATCATTCACGACGCATGAGCACATCGCAAGCGAGTGACGRAAGTGTTGTTAATAATAGAATTAGTGAAACCCTGCGACGTGAACTGCGCATTGCAAAGGCTTTGGGTGTAATAGTGCTGTGTTTCTTGCTATGTTGGTTACCGTACGTTTCAATGAATTTAATTACTTTAGAAAACACTGTGATAAATAACTGTGACATTGAATTGGCGGACACGGTCACATGTTGGCTTGCCTACTTTAATTCCGCTATCAACCCTATTCTATATGCCTACACAAACAGCGATTATAGACGCGCATTCAAGACTTTATTATCGTCTGCTAATGCGAACAACGAGGACGACATGCGTACACGCTCACGTACGCGTTCCTCATTATTTGCTGTAGGCTCAGTTCAGAGACCACCGTCATCACCACCGGAAGGCATAAGTTGCAATACAAAACTCTAAAAGTAATAGGAATGGACTGATTGATGAGAGCCAAAGCATATTCTTCAACTCGATATTTATTAACTGCATAGTAACAACTATAAAATCTAATACCATAATACAGCGTAGCGTTCGTCGGTGGATCTTTTGCTTTCAGCTTACAATCTAGTTTTGATCTTGTTCATTATGCCTGGTGTCCGTATAATCGGTCTAAAAACGTTTTTCCGTTGTGATCATATCCCTATTTGCTTAAGGGATTTAACAACATTAGAAAAACGCTTTTTGAGGTGATTGGGACGATTTTGGCGATCGTGTGGGCACTTTAATATTTAAGAGACTTATCGTTCCTTATTGAAGACTAAATGAATTCCTGTTTTCCTGAACCAAGACTTTTTTAGATTACCCGCATTCGTTATAGGTTGAGCGCAATTTCTTTTGTGAAATAACAACGAAATGAACCGCGTCCAAGAACTGCTTCAGGGGACTAGACTAGCCTTTTTTAGAATGCCTACATATAACGCACGCATATCTACTATATGACTATATGATAGAATGAATTACACAAATAACGTCTAATTGCATTCATTTTTCACAATCAAGCTATTTTGTCTTACAATTATAGTGTAAGAAGACAAATTAGAAGTCGAATGGAAAAAGTTTTCAATGTACCTTCACGACAACTCTACAAATGCCGCCAAAAAAATGAAGTCGGCCTAAAAACAGCATGACTTCCCAAGGCAGGAAATAGAAAATCAATAGAAACACATCAGGAACAAATGAAAGTCTGCTGCTCAACTTGCTTATATTTTTTAAGAAACTGGCTCGATGTAAAATTGCTCAGAGAATCGCCCTCAACCACCAGACATGCAAATTGTCTTGATGTCAATCAAGAAAAAAGTGTAAAGCAAAAGCTGAAACTTTGTTTGTTCAGTTTAATTTGATGAAGAATCGTTCATCATTTTAATCTAAAGTTATCGGCTGCTAGTCGGTGAGTTCCCAACGACGTTTTCGTACACTGTATCGCATGAAATATCAACAATATATAAAAATTCCTTGAAATTGGTGACCTTTGATCGTTTAAATGTTTTCAGGTACTGTACAGTGTGCACTGAAAACACATTTACCCAAGTATGGCCAAATCATCTATCCAAATACACCTAGTGTTGTGAAAATGTTGACACTGTGTGGTCAAATCAAAAACGTCCTTATGACAGATTAAAAAAAATTGTATTCGTAGTGTAATGACTTAAATTCAACTTTTTGTCAGGGTCATCAGAGTGGCAAAATTGTATATCTTTTTTCCTGTCGACAAACAAGTAGCAGGTGAAGAAGGAGTTTTCAGTCTGTAAGCCAAGGACCTGCAACGACAAAACACTTCATGAATGATCAGTGTGATCATACTTTATAATTGGTGTGCTTGAACAGAAGTAAGTCTTGCCGTTTTGTTAATATTGGTGATATTGTAGATGAAATTTAATGTATGTACATTTTACCTACCCCTCATTAGCCCCGAGCGCTATCTTTTTATTATAGACAGATCGAAATATGAAAAAAGTAAAAGTTTTATATGTTGAAAAGATCATCAAAGCATTTAAGTTCTTGATTTCCGTGAAATGTCTTTTAATGATCAATTCATCATGATCAAAACAATGACCATAATTAAGTAGAAAATATTGCTAACACCAAGGCAATAGCTTTAGTTCTCGAAAACTCTCTGTTTCAATAACATTGATTGCACTATCCTTATCGATAGACTGCTTGTCGACAGCCGTGATTCCGATCTGATCTGAGAGCTTTCAGTAACGGACGTTTGCTAACTAACATGTGTAACATGTGTAATGTTTTCCCTGCCGAGTACCAAGAGGCAAGAAAATTATGATGGTGTTTCCAAAGCGCAACTCCTCTTAATCAACTCCAAATTACAAATCGGATTTAAAACGAACGCTTTTTCGTCTCATCCTGTTGTTAGATTTAGCAATAGGTTTATTAAACGAATATTTTTATTGTTTTAATAAATAATACGTTTTGCCAACAAAATTCGACAGGCCTTTTATTAAAAACGGTCAAACTTCGGATGCTAATATAACAGGTGTCAAATTTACTATTTTCATTGCAAACGGTAAAATATGTCAATAAAAAAAGTGACTTATGTAAATTCATTGGAGGTTTTGTAGTCTGCCGACTATTTCAATTCGTTAATCAATAAAGTGACAGCTTATTTGCGTTGTAACCTTAACCATTTCAGCCCCCAAACCACCCTTTAGTGCAGTGCCGAGGCTTTTTATTATATTCAGAGAGATCCGTCGAACAGGCAAAACAGGACTACAGGACCACAAAATGGGAAATGAAACAGTAAGACACTATTCATACATCAACATTTTACTAAAATTTATTTGATATCTAATTGTTTTTGGGGAAAAACGTGACTTTAATTGTTTTGATAGAGGAACATCCTCAACGAGACCAGTGAATATGAAAAGTTGTAAAAATGTCATCAACTCGATAGTCTAAACTGTTTTGAATGAATTTGTAGAAAGAACCAAGCTCGAGAGCAGACTTCTAACATGTTTTCCGTAGGAAACCACACTAGATTAATAACAGTACTTCAGTATCTTTTTTCACCAAATATTGCTATATGGTACTACAATATCGAGAATGTATTAGGTTTTACTTTCAGTAACTAAGATAAATCCTTTTTATCAAATACAAACACCTATCACTGGCCAAATCGAATTAATAAGATGTGAATGAAGTAAATATCAGCGAAATAACGACAGGAAATCAATCGTACCATTTACACATATAAACGATTTTATTAAGTATTTTACCTCATTATGCAAGTTTCTTCTTAAATGTCGCGATCTTTATTACAAATTCGTGTGATTAAGCTATCTTTTTACATTCATAAACCGAATTTAAACTACTTTTTATATTCATTAAGAAAAAGGTAACACCTTTAAGCCGGTGATTTTTACTGGCTTTTTGAAAAACAAGTCATGACATGAAACTATGCAGGTGCAGTTACCTTAGGGCAGCTCGTGGAAGTTTCCTGTTTCCCTCTTTGTAACTTCCACTATTTGCGTGCAATGGAAACACAATTCTCAGTCCGCATCATCAATGCTAAAACCACTGTAATAGAACAGTTAAAATAGTATTTTGCATATCATGAGGTCTGCAGATGAAGATTAACCATTTGAAGAATATATTGCATTGTATGAGTATGGGTCTTATAAAAAACTGTTATGCTTTCGTGGGAACTTAGCATTTTAAAACTTTTAAGCACTTTTACGTTCAATGCTTGAGGAATATTTGCTAGAATCGCGGGTATCAATTATACTGACCGTGAAAATTTGACTTATGAAATCCGATAAACAAACTGAGGAGCTGTAACGCGATTGAACAACTGACTGATCTATTGCCGCATTGCTGATATATGGTAGACATTGATGTTTTCAAAAAAAAAATGACTATTTTGAGTTATGATCATACAGCTGCCTCTCATCGCTTACAAACAAACCATCACAGCTGTATTTTGAATGATCATGTTTCCACAGCGGATCAAATGAGTAAAATTCATTGCTCTTTTCGAATGATAGGTAAAGGGAACTAATGCCGATATTTTTAGATCCAATTCCTTTACTTTAATTATAGAATCCTTACAAATTTTGCTTCAAATTCTCCGGAACTAGAATCCGCTGTTTTCAGCGTCCCCTTGCAAGATGTTTACTGTCAATTAAGTAACGTTTTGTTCATTTTAGGTGATGTTATATAACCATAAGCTATTCAATACCACTGCCAACACGTCAAGCTTGGTTTGTGGAGAGTTGAGTCCCGCCTTTACTATAACTGGTCTGACATGCATGGGTACTATTGTAGTGTTATCAGTGTCAGGCAACTCTTTAGTCTGCTTTGTCATTGCAAGATTCTCACGTCTTAGAACCATCTCAAACTACTTAGTATTCAGCTTGGCCGTATCAGATATGATGGTAGCATTGAGTGTACTGCCATTTGACATTATCTACTGGGTGTATTTTCCTTCTTGGCCTTTGGGTGGTTATGTTTGCAACTTGTGGAACTCCTCATTTTTCGTGTTTCTTACTGCCTCAGTGTTAAATCTCTTAGCAATTTGTACTGATCGTTTTGTTGCCGTGGTCTTTGCACTTCGGTACAAAGACATCATGAATACACAAATTGTGAAAGTCATCATAGCTGCGATTTGGGCATATTCCTTTTCAATTGGTGCAATCCTTTTTGCTGTTTTGGTGCCACCACAGGATCATACTTACACTTTTGAGCTTCATCCAGCGTTTCATGGTTTTCTATTGGTTGGAAATGTCTTTGTTCCTTTCTGCATTATGATTGGTTTATACTTCAAAATCTATCTGATAGCACGTGACCACGCAAGGCGAGTCGGGATTATTTCCATCACTTCTGATCTTCACGTCTTTGATATGATTGGTCGAGAACTTAGAGTAGCAAAGACCTTTGGGATTGTAGTCGTGACATTTTTGCTTTGTTGGATGCCTTTCGAGGTGATAAACGTTGCGATTCTGATCGATGAAGGTGTTGAAAGCTGTTCCATGGAGATAGCGGATACCGTATCATGTTGGTTTGCCTATCTACAGATAGCAGCGAATCCAGCCATCTATGCTTTTGCAAACAGTAAATTCAGAAAAGCATTTAAGAGGATCATTTGTACACAACGAAACGAGTTGGATGATTCTACATTGAAGTCGACAAACTATAGAGAAGGTGACGTACAGTCAGTACGGGTAGGACGAAACACAGATCAATGTAGTGAACAAGACAATGGGGAGTCCAGATGATTTGAGTACCAAAATGAGCGACTTCTCAACGCTAAGAATTGTTATTAAGTAAACCGTAACTTGAATTAACTAAAACTAACTTGTCACTATGATTCATACACACACAACGGTAGCAAACTAACAACATCTTGTGAATGAATGTGACAGAAGTTTATTTGAAGTTCATTTTGTTGAAATTACAAATGTTTTAGCTATGTTACACTTGTCCTTCGAGTTCCCAGACGAAACATTAGTTCGTAGTGAAAGTCTCGAATCAAAGAATGGGTATCGCTTATTGAAAGAAGACAACTGTAGTGATGATTATGGCCTACTGTGAAGGCCAAAAAAGCCCTGCTTTGCTGACGGTCCCCGAAAAAACGTAGGTCCATCAACGCAGACTGGTTATGAACAATAGTTCAAATATTACAATCAGACCACGTCCACGTCAATGCATTTCGGTGATTACTGTTCTACGTCATCAAGAGAGTGATACCACTGTCTCCACCAAACGCATTAGAATGGGCGTGGTCTGTCCATCTTGGAATTGAACAAATAATATTTTCAAGATTCATATTGGATTTTCATTGTGAACATGGTTAATTATGTACATCTATTAATGTTTGGATACATCCTACTAGGATTTATACAGTAATTAAACTCATTCTGAAAATAAGCTAAGGTTAGGTAGCAAGTTGACTGCGTTGATAGCTGCTAGCAGTACACACTTTCAGAAATGATGTGCTGCAGCTTTGGAAAATATCGCAGGCTCGCACATGCACTATAAACAATCTTCGGAAATGCCTCGTTTTCCTGCGCAAGTCTGCGATCTCGTAAGTCCTAGTAAATCTTCAGACCGCAACAATTTTTCATGACGTACAACCTGCTACCATTAGATTAAGCATAAATGCCGGTAAAATAAACTTTTATCAATGTAAGAAGGTCCCTTTGGACGAAATACTCTGTACATAGCAAGTTCGATATAAAAATGTCTTGATTTTCGTACTATTATAAAATCTAGCCTAAATCTACTTTCCTTACTTGACGTCTATATTGCTCAAATAATTATAAAATAAAACGAAAGTACAAAATTTTAAGATTGGACGTTTTCGTCTAACTAGTGCTAATTGAACTATACAAGTACCTTAACAAATTGTATACCCAAACTAGAATCAAGAAAAAATCATTCATTCACTTGTCTTGAACGAGTGAAACTTAATATAATTCATTAACTATATTGTTCACTTTGCCGATTTCTGAAAAAAAGATATCGTTCCCAACATTTTAGCCGTTTCTCTGTTTTCGCTCATAAACTTACTGTGTTTTCTTTCAATTCAACGAAAATTATACATCAAATTATTTTAACAATTTCCTTAGTTGGTGTCCGAACTTACTAGTTCTTCGATTCAAACTTATGACGATTTGATTCGAAATAATTGATTATTAATGACTACTTTGTGGAGTTCAACAGCAATCTCCTTGAGACGGTGCGACCCATTTTTGCGCACTTCACTTTATCCAAGCGATACCTCTGTTTCTGTCCATAGATTGGGGCTAATATTCATTGGCATTCTTATGGGACAATAATATTGATTCAGGAGATAATTGCAAAGCTTTTTCTGTGAGGAGATAGGTTATTGAGACTTGCTGATCGTTTCAGGGATAAAGCTCCTTCATCCTTGTCCTGTTCGACTCTCGACATTGCCTGAAAAGATGATTTTATAAATATACAATAGTATAAGGTGATGCTAGCGTTATATTCTGGTTTGTTTGACACCGATTTAAAATCATAAACACATTATGTTATTATATATGTACTGCCGTGAAAAATCCCTAATAAACTATTAAATGCACTAAAAAAAACCCTCTTACCTCAAGTTTAGAGGCCTTTTCTTTGCTGAGAGGTTCCAGAGGGAAGCTTATGTCATTGGCATTTGCCAGTGATCGAAGATCAAAGTAATACTTTGCATATACACTGGAAGGGACGTTTATATTAAATTGTAAATATTCTAAACACGATCTCTCTAGTTCATTCCTATAAATAAAAGATAAACAGAAATAATTAAACAACTGAAGAGCATTGGTTCCTGTGCCGAAGGATTAGAATGTGCATAGCACTCTATGGAAGAACATGCAATGGAAGACTTACATTTCTTCAACAGTAATATCCTTTAATATTTGACAATAATCAACATTCCATACTGTGAAARAAAATAGATGAAATCAACATTTATGACAACAACACTCCATCTCAACTGCCCTTGCTTCCTTTTGCAGACCCTCTTGAGATGTCATGCAAATAAGTCCCCAAAAAAAGGCTATAACTGTCCCTAATTACATTACTGATAAAATGTATGAACTATTGTAGACTAAGGTTGGTCTTACAGCTTTTAGGATAATCACTTACCAGCTTGGTCATCCCATACTTTAGAGGCCAAGAGTATTGCACCTAGAAGTATTCTTTTCCAGTTTCCTGGATGTAAATCTATTTCGGCATASGTTAACAGTCTTTCAAGATAAACCTGAGAACGATCAAGACTAACATTAACATTATTTATATCACATGTTTTACTTAGAATGGTTTTCATTAACTGTTAAGTACACTTTAGCATACTTCACTTCATTATTCTTTATTGTGCATGATTTCCTTTGTTATTTTGGTGTATTGCACTTTGATTATTAAACTTGGTTTGATGGGTTACTTAAAATCACTCTCAAT